ATTATAGAAGAGGTAAGGCACTATAAAGATTTTTATATTTTTTTTTTTTTAAAAAAAACACATTGAAACACCTTCCCCCTGTTCATCCTCTCTTCCTGCTCCCATTTCTTGCAAAACTATGCACAAAAGCACAATTAATGAACCCAATCCCACACCACCAACAAAATTGTGTTGGACAGATGTGTGCAAAGTCACATTGGAAGCATCCATCCAACTCGAAAATATATTTTTATGCAAGGGCTTATTTGCATTAGGCAGTTGTGTTCGACATGACCTTGGACGCATCCACCCAATGCAACTTTTTTGGTAGTGCCATCCATCGTTTTTATAAAGCCCAACTCCATCTCATATTCATCTCCCTTTCCTCATCAACCCCAAAAACTTGTATCTTAAAATCAAAAAAAAAAAAAAAAAGAAAAAAAAATTTGGAAGGATTGCAAAAAAAAACAACAAAACAAAACAAAAAAACGTTTTTCTTTTCTTCTTTCTCACTCTTCTACTTCTCTCAAACTATCACCATTTTCTTCTTCTCATAAACAAAAAAAAAGAACTTGCAAAAAGAAAAGAAAAAAACGAAACACAACACAACACAACACCATAAATAATATATTGATCATCTCAAATAAAAAAAACACAGCAAAACAACAACTACGACTACTACCAAGCCATCACTTTTTTCCTCCTTTCTCTAACCTTTTTTGTTCACCCCTTTAGTATGTAGGAGTGGTTTTTTTTTTTTTTTTTTTTTTTTTTTGAAAAAACTCAATTTGTTGAAGAAGTAGATGATGGAGGTGGGGCGCCAGCGCGTGGAACTGTTTCATCCAAAGATTTGTGACCGGCTAATTCGGTTAAAACTGTTGAATCGATCGGGATTACTGATTTTCGCCTATATATAAGAAAGAACAATCGAGAGAGTAAGGAAGCAAAAGGAGAAGAAAGAAAAAAGGAAGGGGGGAAAAAAGTCAGAGTGAGTATGGAATCAATGATAATGATTTGATTTGATAAGATTGAACTTTGATCCTCAGGTTCTGGGTTTTATTTGGAGTGAAGAGTTTTTTTGGGTAGTATAAGTTGAGGAAAAGTGGCATGGAGGCGAAGAGAGATAAAGATAGAGAATCCAAACTGATCTCTATCTCTTTCTAGCCTACCGGCAAATAGAGAGAGAGAGAGAAGAAGAAGAAGAAGAAAGAAAACTTACCGCAAGTGTTGTTGAGGAGGCGCTCCAGGTTGTGCGACCTGTTGACGAGCAGTTTCAGGAAATTGTTTCTGCATTTCTAAATGTTGATCTTCCATCTGTTGCTGTTGTTGTTGCATAGCTTGCTGTTGCTGCTGCTGTTGTTGATCAGGAAAGTTGGGGAAACTTATAGACCCAAATGAACTTTCAGGGTGTTGTTGTTGTTGGTTCGCAAATCCGTTCATCACTTCTTCCTCGAAAGCGCTTTGGTCTAGTAGAGCAGCAGATGAAGGGATCGGAGCTAAGACTGAAGGGGGTAGATGTGAAATGGTGCCCTTGTTCTTGATCGCTTCATCTCTTAACCTATTCCAGGCTGCTTCACGTTGTATTAACCGCTCCCGTTCCCTGTAAGATCGAATAATTGATTAGTGATAGGAGAGAGAGAAAGGAGTTGTAGTAGGGGGAAGTGGAAAAACCTTTGCCGAGACTCGCGATATTGATCCGTACATTCCTCAAAAAGAGGTGGATTCATATCCATGAATAGCTTGAGTGCATTATACACCAACTGATGGATTTGCCTACCCAATAGAATCTCCCGATCAACTGCAAACTCTAATGAGCGAAGAAAAGTGATAACTTACCGACTCCAATGCATTTTCGAGTTCGTGTAAAGCGAATCAAAAACCAGCGGGAGAACAGTCTGAACATTTTCCGAGATCAAATTGACGATGTACTCATTGTTCCAGTAATAAAGCGCCCTTTCAGCTACCTATTTGATCAAGCTAGTCAGATCAAACAGACCAAGAACAGGAAAAGTGAAACGAGGAGGACGAGCCTGGAAGTGTTGGCTGTTGACACATCGGGAGAGTTGTTTGAAGAGTGGGACGGCAATTTTTTGAAACTCGATTGGGTCGATCACATCTTTTTTGGTTTAGGACAGGAATAAAAGGAGGTTGACCAAAAGGTGAGACTAAGACCGTTGAGAGAAGGATTTGAATACCAAAAAAAAACAAAGATGGTCATCACATACCTAGTACTTCTTCTACCTCGTTCAAATACATGACTTCCTTAGGCGAGTTAACCTTTGGCCAATACCTCAGTAAACCGATCACCACCTCCTCCGTTAAAGTTGGATCCTTTTCCAAGAATTGTACTACACAATAAGCTAATTGGGGATGATAGAGCGCTAAACCTTTAACTTTATGAAGTGGGATAAGAACTCGAGTGAGAAAGGTCTTGTGTTCTTCTTTAAGTGGTAATGCAAATCCGTTGATGATTGAACCCAAGATTTCAAGTAATTCAGCGATACCATTATGTCGCTCAGTCTCGTAGATAAACGCGTAAAAGACGTTGTTGATTGAACGTCGGATGAAGGCTCTTAGGTTTAAGAACTTTCCATAGATTCGGTGAAGTGTCGTCTTTAGGAAATCTCGCTCGCGTGGGTCCTCGCTGTCAAATAACTCGAGGAGCTATTGGGAAAGAGCATTTAATCAGTCCTTCTCGAGGAAAAAAGCAGAGATGAAGAGACAAACGTTGAGGACAAATTGCTGGTCGATGAATCGTTTAGCAACGTTAGTGTTGAAGTCTGGACTCTCGACAAACCGCAAGAAAAACTCATAAACGATTTGAAGGTGAGGCCAAGCGAGCTCAAGTACGGGTTCGTCCTCCTCTGGGTCGTACGCGTCCCCGGTCGGGTTCACAGGCGGTGGAATGGAACGAAAGAGGTTAGAGGCAAACATCGAGACTACCTCTGGGTAGATCGCCTCTGTGATCACGCCTCTTTGAGTGGTAATCCATTCAAGCATTTCATGTAGGGCTGAAGCTTTGATTTGCTTCGAGGAAAGTTGGGTGGAGGCATCATTGAAGTCGAAAACGACAGAACATTGATGGAGCTTCTGGATAAATAGCGCATGCGTCTCCTGTGGGCTCACCTCTATGAACGCATTTCAAAGATCAGTGATCGACGAGCAGACAAAGAGCAACAAGCTCCACAAAAAAAAAATGATCTCACCCTGGAAAGCAGGCAAACGTTCAAGTTCAACCTTTTCCGTTACATGAAACCTGCTACTGCGCTGTTTCCGTGGTGTCTTCGCGATCGGTATCGTATCCTTTACTCCAGGTGGAACCGGTACACCCCCAGATTTTCCTTGAAGTTTTCCGATCGGGCCGGATTTAGGTGGCGTCTGGGGAGGACCACCGACCATCGGTCCACTCAATCGGTTAGGTGAGACGAGGGAGATAGCACCGCCTGAGGTCGGATGGTGTGGGAGAGCGGATGGATGCGGGAGTGGGTCGGTGGGCATCACAGCCTTTGGTTAGGCACCACCCAAAACAGGGGAAGTGAGAGGAAAGAGGCGCGTATTTGTGTGTGTATGTGTGGGGGGGGGGGGGGGGAGGGGGAATGGAAAAAATGGAACGATGTAGAAGAAAATAAACAATTGATAGACAGACAGATAGGGTGAAAGTTGAGTCAGAGTGACGTCCGAGAGAGGGCGGTAGGTAGGAGGACTTACGTTATCGCCACTGACGAAGATTCCAGGCACGTTAGCGTTGGACAGTTGCTGATTGGGCGCAGACGGGAGACCTTGAAGGGTAGCAGCGGCAGCGGCTGCTGCTGCCGCCTGAGTGGCCTGTTGTTGTTGTTGTTGAGCAGCAGCGGCGGCAGCAGCAGCAGCAGCGGTGGCAGATGACGATGAAGACCGACTGAAGAGACCGGCTGCGCGACCGATACTGCCCGATTGAGTTCCGCTCGAGCCGTTCTGAGTAGGTTGTTGTTGAGCAGAGGTGGGAGCGGAACCGATGGAGAGGTTTGTTTGAGAAGAGGCAGGTGATGGGGCGGGTGAGGATTGATCGTAGGGTCCTTTGTCCTTTGATGATCGGCTGGTGGAAGTACTGCTAGACGGGTTGTCCTTATCCTTGCGCGAAAGCTAGAGAAGAAAGCGAGGAGGAGAGAGAAAGGTGAGAAATGGGTAGGATTCGAATTAAGATGATGATACGCCTTAAAGGTAAATAATATATACGAACCATTTTGCCCAACATGCCTTTCTTCATGGTGGTAGAATGGTTTGCTTGGTTGATGAAGCGATGTGGTGGTTGTAGTAAGAGACTAAAGTCGGTTTGGGGTGGGTTGGGGTGAGGGCAGTGAGAGTGAAACCACAGTATGAAATTATACCAAACAATTCAAAACTCATAAAAGCCATCGACATAAATTACTTAGTTTAATCACACTCAGCTCATATATGTAATCAGCTCACATCGCGGGCAAAAACATGGCTGAAGGTAAAAGTTTAGAATAATTTTAACAGTTCTCCAATAAAAAATTGTGAAGCATGGAACTCATCACAATTGGCCCTATATAGACTCTACTGCTATACATCCTGTCCCATACATGACAACTAATCATATACTTAACTTAGACTTCAAATTGCTCTTCTGTGTTTGTTGTGGAACAATGCCACTCTTGCCAAAGCATGAGCCTGTTAGTAAACACCAAATTTGCATGGGGACATAAGTGTTTGGGGTGTGATGCCATTGGCATCAACAATAGGGGGTTTCAAATTAGAAATTTCCAACAGATACTTTTAACAGACCCAGCACAAAACTATAAATTCCTATGGCATAGCACCTGCTGTTATGTAAGGAAGTCAGCATTAAATTTCAAAAAAAGTCAGCTCAGTCAGCAGAAAAAAAAACAACTCGGACACCCCTAACACTACAGTTGCCTGTCCTCATCAATAGGTTTCACTCCAGTTTGGAAGGACTGCTGGATTTTAAGCACAAGCCTGTTGGTCTTGTTCCTCGCACCCCACCTGACGGGCCAAAAAATTGACTCTGCCCGGGCTCGAACCGAGGACATCACGCGATTGAACTTCATGTGAAGCGTGCGCTCTACCGACTGAGCTACAGTGCCACTGAAAGCAAAATGCTGACGTGTAAAATTTGTACGTCACCGTGACGTCCACAGCTCGCCATGTACACGTCAGTATATACGTCACCTTCAAGACATGGCAGTCTATTATATGTCACCGTCAAGGCTACTAGAGCACACACCATCTGAGTTGCGAAGTGACATTATCAAATCATCCTCGATCTCTCCTCGGGAAGTGACAGCCAACACTTGTATGTTCGAAGGTCCAGACAAACGTCCAGTTGTCAGGATCAATCCGGTTCGTTTTACTGACCTTGAAGTCATCTACCCGTCTACACTTTGTTGTCTCAGCTCAGTTCCGTGCCCTGACCAGCTCATTCCAACCAACTCACTAACTGCAACCATAATTACTCATGATTCAAGATCATTCGTCTCCAATTTTCAACTCAAAGCCTGCTCAGCCAACCAAACCAGTCGATCAGGCTACTCGATTGATCATTGCTCCAAGAGTACGAGTGGTTCCAGTTGCTTTGGTACC